CCCCAAAACCCCAAAACCCCAAAACCCCAAAACCCCGGAGGAATAAAAACAATTGATCTAATTATATGGAAGAGTATGATGTCATTATAGTAGGCTTAGGATGAGTAGGAAGCTCAGCCGCCTACTATTGAGCAAAACAAGGAATGCAAGTACTTGGAATAGAGCAGTTCCCCACCCCTGGATCTTTAGGATCAAGCTCTTTTGGAGAAACTAGGATGTGGAGAGTAACTCATGGAAGTTATTGGAAGAATGATATGATGAAGGACGCAATTACTTTATGGAGAGAGCTTGAAGAAGAGTCTGGAGAAGAACTCATGCTCAAATTCCCAGTGCTTAGTATGGGAAGTTTGGAAAGCAAGGACTACATGAACATTAGAGCTCAGTATCCTGAGTTACCTAAACTGTCTCCTAAGGAGATTAGTGAAAAGTATCCTGCGCTGCACAATATTCCTGATGACTATGAAGGACTTGAGCATGAAAACTGTGGAGTAGTGAAAGCAAGAAAAGCCTTGCAGACAGTGACAAAGCTCACTCAAGTGAAATATGGAGCAGAGCTTCTTTTCGACACTAAAGTAGTAAGTGTCGATAAAAATTCAGTGACAATTGAAGATGGAAGAACATTTTATGGAAAAGATATTTGTGTATGTGCTGGTGCTTACTCCATTGATTTTGATAAAGATAAAATCGCAACAAGAAGAGAGATCGAGTATATTGTCTTTGAAAGTCCAGAAGGTCTCCCTGGGGGTCTTCTTGAGTTCACAAAGGACGGTAATGAGTATTATGGAATGGTGGATGGTGACAATTTCAAAATGGGGGAGTTTGCTCAAAGATCCATTGCATCAATGAAAGATTACTTTAGAGACAGAATGCCTGAAAAGTTTACTCAGATAAAGTACTTCCATCCTTGCTACATCACGATGACAGACACAGGTCACTTCCAGTACAAGACAGACAAGGATGGGGTGCACTACGCCTACGGTTTCGAGGGAACTGGTTTTAAATTTTTCCCTCTTCATGGAAAAATAGTACATGACGGGTTGATCACAAAGAAGGATCAAACTCATATTCCTGATGAATACAGAGCTAAAATATAAGAATATCTTCAATGTACTTCGGAGGAATAGGGGTTTTGGGGTTTTGGGGTTTTGGGGTTTTGGGG